CAAATCTTCCTATCCAATGAATATCATCGTGATCTACAATCTTCCTATCCAATGAATATCATCGTGATCTACAATCTTCCTATCCAATGAATATCATCGTGATCTACAATCTTCCTATCCAATGAATATCATCGTGATCTACAATCTTCCTATCCAATGAATATCATCGTGATCTACAATCTTCCTATCCAATGAATATCATCGTGTTGTTAAATATTAGAATGGATTTAATCTCAACTGCAAGAAAAGAAAAATGAAAGGATTAAAAAACGAATTTTTAAAGAAAAAATGCAAATAATAATTCTCTTTTCCTTATTAAATCAATCAAAAATAAAAACTCGCAAAAAATTTTCCAAATATCTTATATAATATCAAATTGTATATTAAGCTAACAAATGGAATAGAATGGCTTAATTTTCAATTAATATTTTCATACAATTCAAATTTGTAAAATTCCAAATCTTCATTTTAAGGAAAGAAAAAATGACAAAAAGAATTGCTGCATAATGAAATTTATCTAAATGGATTAACGCAATAAGTGTAATTGAATTAATTTCAGAGCAGTAAGAGATTTCTTATTATCACCTGAAATGCGAGGTAAATTAGATGGTTTTATAACGCTTCACACATACGCACAACTATGGATACATCCATACAGTCATGAAGTGGAATCATTTCCTGATAATTATGCACAATTGGTTAATTAATTAATTAATTGATTAATTGATTACTTACTATCAATAATACTTGTTTGCTATAATAATGTTTACTTTACAAATATGATAATGCTAATAAAGAGACTTAGCATTAAGTTTGCTCTTCATAATCATTAATGAAAAAAAAATCATTTGCTTATCATAATTTCACTATATTTCTTATGAATTTTTAATTCTTGAATAAATTTAATAATGGATTTTAATTTTGATAATTTCTTTGAAAATTTCCCTTTTTTTCTTTATTTAAAATTTTTCTAAAAAAAAAATTTTCTAATTATTTTTTAGAAACGTACAGCAAAACGTGCAGTTAATCGATTGAAGAGAGTTTATGGAACACAATATAGGATTGGTACTGGTGCTGATATTTTAGGTTAATTATTAGTGTATATAAAATTAAAAAGAAGAAAAATAGTTTAATTTTAAATTAAAATTGAAAATTTCTTGTCAAGATTTATTGCCATCTCTTGTTTATTTAATTATTTTAATGCATGATATGTTGAAATGAAATGACTGAATATAATTGATGAAGAAATTTTCAGCACCAGCATCTGGTGGCTCAGATGATTGGGCTAAAAATACACTTGGAGTAAAATTTGTTTATTTGGTTGAACTTCGGCCTCAATTAGAATGTATGTTGATCGTTTGACTAATCGATCATATAATTATTGAATATTAATTCGAATTAAAAAAAAATCAAATTTGAAAATTCAACTTTTGTTTATCATAAATTAAGACGCATAAGAAGATTATAGTTTAAAAAAAAATAATAATAGAATTTATATCCAGATTTAAGTTTTTTAAACAAAAAAGAAAACTAAAAATAATATTAAAACACTCAGTAGTCTTCAAAAAATTTGCTATCTTCCGTATACAGTACAAAACTTTATTTTATATTTTATTTTATAAATTCAAAATTTTATTTTATAAATTCGAATTTTCAGTATTAAATGGATTTATTTTAAATAAAAATGAACTGATTCCAACAGCTGTTGAAACTTGGGAAGGCGTTCGAACAGTCATAGATGATGCCATCCGTGCTAATGAATTATTAAATGTAAAATCAATAACCAATGAATCTCTCTCTATACTAGGCCAATTTATCAAACATAAAATATGTTAGTTTCTTTTTTTTTTCTTCAAGACTTTTTTTTTCTTTTCATTTTAAATAATTTAATTCAAATTCATTTTCAATTTTTGTTTTTGTAATTTTTCGATTTAAAAATTACGTTTCCTTTTTTATTATTTTAAAATAAATTATTATTATTGGTTTTTTCTTACCTATTTTTTCTGATTATTTTTTTTCTTTTCAACTAAATTCAAATTCATTTTTAATTTTCATTATAATCGAAATATCATTAATTTTTTGTCCTTTTTTTAATGTTATTACTTAAAATTATTAGTAATTATTGTAATTTTTCCTTTCATTTTTTAGGCTAATAGAAATATTTTTATTTTAGCAAGAAAAATTCAACAAACTGATGGAATTTCTCGTACATTAGCTGGTATTAAAATTACACCTGAACTTCCAAACATTGATGATAATATGCGCTCGAGATCGATCAATAATTCAATTGTTTATTTTCAAAATGGTACCAATACATTGGTACAATCAAATAATTTGACGAATAAAATTAATAATTTTATCGAATCTATCAATAATCAAAATAATTCATTGATAACAAATGCTGTTAAACCATTTCAAATTATCCATTCAAATCATAAAGCAATAATAACCAACCAGTTAAAATTATTAAATCAAACTCATCGAATTACATCGCCTATAATATTTCATTCTAAATCATCATCATTATCATCATCATCATCATCATCATCATCATCATCAACAACAATTAATCATTTTAGCAATAGCACTCATAGGCAATTTTTAAATTCAAATTGTAAAGATATTCGAAATTCATGTAAATTTTGGTTACAAATTAATCCAAATATATGCATGGAACAGTATAAAATGATGAAAATGCAATGCATGCGCACTTGTGAATATTGCATTTATTTAAAATAATTAATAAAATTATTTTGAAATTTAAACAATCTTTTAAAATAAATTTGTTTTTGTTTCATTTGAGAAAATTTAATTCAATTGTTAACATAAGAAAAAAAATAAAATAATTTTTTTAACTTATTGCTTTTTTATCATTTTTTTCTTTTGTTTTGGTTTTTGTGATATTAATAAAATTAAAAATTTAACAAAATTACGGGTAGTGATGGTAACGGATTAAATTAGTAAATGCAATTTAAAAATTTCAAACGAATTTAAAACCAATAATGAATTTTAGGATATATCCATATATATATAGGGGAAAAGTTAAAATTGAAATTAAATTTTTGATCTTTTTAAAATCATTATGATATATCATATTATTTGAATGAATGAATTATTATCAGTATGCTGCCATATGTAATTTTGTTATTTGTATTTTCGATCTCGATAATTTTCAACGAAAAGAAAAAAAAAGAAGGAGAAAATGAAAAGCACGAAAAATGAAATTATTGTTTTGTGATGAAATGAAAGCTTTTCTCATTACAGTATTCCGCGTTAAAATTATTGCATCATGAAACTGTATTACTACTGTTAATTGTTGTACAATTTACTATCACTCTTTATATTATGACTATTAATATAAATCAAATAAAGGAATTAAATTAAACATTAAATCAATGAAATTGAATAAACAAATATATTATTGTTATTTGATAGGAAAATATCCTTGTACAATAATAAAGGATGATAAAATGATAAGGAATCACGTCATTGTCATTACAGTACATTGTAATGTAATTAATAGGAATGAATTTGAATAGATTATAAAAATGGAAAAATGTGAAAGTGAAAAAGTTTGAGGGATACAAAACGAAAATAAATGCTATGCAAATTGCATACTTAAACAATAAGTTAAATATTTATCATTGTATTATTATTATTATTATTATTATTATTATTATTATTATTATTATTATTATTATTATTATTATTATTATTATTATTATTATTATTATTATTATTATTATTATTATTATTATTATTATTATTATTATTATTATTATTATTATTATTATTATTATTATTATTATTATTATTATTATTATTATTATTATTATTATTATTATTATTATTATTATT